TGTTGAAAGCATGTTAGTCAAACATACTAAGAGATTGTTTTTATTATTCTCGTCAGTGGATTCTGCCATAGATAAGACTCAGTGACCTATAATTCAAAGTGCTTTGCTTGTATCATCCTTATGCATATCTATACATTCAAAATTTGGCACATTTCCACGGCCTTTTCGCTCATAAAAATGCCTATCATATGTAACAAAACACTCTAAACATATATATCTAGATCGATATTTTGCTGGATCATTGTTATCGTTAATATTTTCTGATTCCATCTCCTGTTTGAATATAGGCAAACCTTAAGTCTAACACAAGAAATTTGCACATATTTTCCAAAAACATGTCTCAAATGCTGTATACAAGTCCTACCCCGACTAATAAAATATTTGTATTTATTACAAAATAAGCAACGCTGGCAAAAATCTAACTTTTTTCAATTGAACATGTCTTTTTGGTATTTGGAAGATGAAGCTGATTTTGATTATAAAGGAAGTGAGAATAACATACACCTATTGTTAACAAATCGTTTTTTGTTTGAGCTTTTTGAAAAATCTCTGGATTGATCTTCTAAGCTCCAATTAGTTGGGAAAGTGGCCTCTGTCTTTCCGAATGGCTTGAGCAGCATTGAATGGAACTATTATTAATATCCAAAATTAGATATTCTGATAAAGATTCACTAGCGTTTTTGTATTCATAACAAAATATTCGTTTCCATCAGTTGATCCTGATGTAGTCGACTCTGAATCAAATATTGAAATTGTTGATATATTAACATCTACTTCAGTATCAGTATCGATATCTTTTAATAAAAATATATCATTATTTTCGTCTTCTTCTATAAGTGTTCTTGCTCTTTCAAAATTAGCATTATTAAAAAGAAAGGGCATTTCTATATCATAATTTAATGCACTATTATCGCTTCCAATGCTCCCTACAACACTCTCTGACGTAAGACTTTCAGCAAAGGCTATACTCTTCAAATCATCATAATCATTAGGAACATAATCGAAATTATCAAAAATGTTCTGCAAGTTTGTATCAGATATAGCAAAAGGGGTGAATTTTGTATGATGAGATGACTAACGCTAAGTAAATGTC